TATATATATATATATATATATATATATATTTGAAAAGCTTATGAATGTTTGAGTTTAGTGTTGGGAAGCTTGGGGAAATTTTTTTTCCTCAGAAATCATCTTACTTTCTTTATGAGAAACTTCAACTAAAGTCAGCAGTCTGATTATGATGTCTATAACTAAGAATGAAACTCTACATATCCTATTAGAATTGGAATAGCTGAGAATAACTACTTTGATATCCCTTTAAAAATTTAAAATACTCTTTGTACTTTATGGAAGTATGAACACATGACTCTTTTTTAGCCTTTTCTATTTGCATAACGTAAAATTGGATGATAGTGGGGATACATTGATGTGCCAATTAGATGCAAGGGTTTTGTTCTGGCAAATCAATGAATTCAGTTTCAGCTCTAAAAAAGCAAATATTTCATCTTGCAAGAAAGATACAATGGGATTCATGTTCCATCTCTCCAGAAATTGCCTATTGGGTAAATGTGCATTCATGCATTTGTGATTTATATTTCTTTATTGGGGAATGATGCTGACAATATGGGTTAGGTCTAAACTAGCTGTTGCTTGTTTAAAAATTAATTTTTCCTTAACTTTGATCCTTTTCTTAGCTTTCTATTATGACTACCTTACTTCGATTAAATGTGCTTCTCGGGCCATGGCACATGGCACACATTTTCCAGGGGATGTCCCTAGAGTAAATGGGCAGCTGGCCGTTTCTCGTGCTTTTGGAGATAAAAGCCTTAAATCACATTTGCGATCAGATCCTGATATTCAAAATACAATTGTTGATATCAGCTGTGATGTTCTTATCCTTGCAAGTGATGGTCTTTGGAAGGTGATGCTATTTCCTGTGTCAATTGCATTCGTTGTTATTGTGCAAGAATAAATTTTAAAAAAGAGTAGCACGTTATTGAATTGTTTGTTATGCTAGATTGAAGAGTGAAACATTTGATTTAAGGAATAAAACAAAGTTGAAATCTTGTATGTTATCCTTTACAATACTGTTGAGTGCTGTGTAACAAACACGTCCTATTTACTTAATCTCATGTTCTAATACATGATTGATTCAGGTTATGGATAATCAGGAGGCCGTTGATATTGCAAGAAGAACTAGAGATCCTAAGAAAGCAGCCGGGCAATTAATAGCTGAAGCATTGAAAAGAGAGAGTAAAGACGACATCTCTTGCATTGTCGTTAGATTTAGGTGATGGACTTATTTTCTCGTCTTTGCGTCACATATGAACTTATTTTCTCACGTCTTTGCTTCACATCTGCTGGGAAATAAGAATTATATTGCATTACACCCATATATTATCGGCCCAAGAATTTGAAATAATGCCCTGTTGGGGTAAAACCTCGTCCGATGCTAAGCAGGAAAATTTACAGAAGGAA